CGTATCACAGTGCACTGAGATTTGTGACAAACTGTAAAGCATCATCACTGTACCCTGTATGCAAGGGATGGTTTACTTTCACTAACTGTACGGAGGGTCAGTCACTGGTACATTTTTATATACAAAGCCATGTTAGAGAAACTTCCATCTTATATCTGCTCCCTGATCTCACGGAAAATTGTAAGTGGCTACTGCCTGAGATCGAATGCTGTGGTTTTATTAAATGTGCCAACTGCTAGGACTGTCTTAGGGAAGACAGCTTTTAGATGCGCAGCTCCTCTGTCTTGGAATAGTCTGCAAATTAAATGGAAACTGAACAATCTGGTGCCACTAAATGTTTTTAAAGCTCGGTTGGATGCTACTCAATCGGAAGCTATTGGTACCTGTTTATGTGGATAATTATGTAAATGATGCTGTATGATGTCCTTTTGTTGTTCTATTTATGTGTTTATGTTTCATGTGGAACTACTTGAGCAGGTCTCCCTTGAAAAAGAGATCAATGATCTCAATGGGATTTATCTGTATAAATAAAGGTTTGAAATGAAAATGTAATATATTACATATGACTTATTACTGTCTTTTGAAAGTAATAAGTTACATTACAATATTACTGTCTCTGAAATGTAATGAGTTGCACTACTTTTGAGTTACTTTTGAGTTACTTTCACCAAAATAACCGCAAAACAATGGCTAGGTATTTTAAATGCTAAAATGTAGTTTAGTGCAACTCATTATATATCCAGTGAAGGGCAATGTGGTATAGCATAACAACTGTGTAGGCCCTTAACCTGTTAGACCCCGAGCCTGTTTTTCAGGTCTCAGGCTCGAAAATGACATTCCCAGAACAAATGACCATATCTTCCCTTCTAAAAGGGTTAAATTAATAATCTTTTTTCTGAAAGTAATGATAAACCTGTGAGTTGGATGTAGAAAAGTCAGAATCAATATAGATGTTTTTTATTTTAAAGAAAATTCAGATTGAACATGGTAAAAAACTGTAAATTATAGTGTCCGTCCAAAATATATTTCGTACTTATAGTGAAAACTAACCTTGGATGATGGGTTAGTAGACTAACAGCTTTAGGAATCCAAAGTACAACATATAATAAGTACCCTGTATCAAGATTGATGCAAAACAAGTGATATTTGACCTTTTTAGACAGATTTAGCGAAAAAACCCTCTTCTGGGGCCATTTGGGTGGATTTCCTTATCTCTGGCCCCCCTTGTTCGATTTTGACATGTGACATCTCTTTCTGACCGTTAGAGCCAAGGGAAATCGTCCCGCACACACATGTTAAAAAAAAAGGTAGCCTCTCTGCGCATGCTAGCTTGCCTTAGAGGGGAGAAATATCGCTGCTCTGATATCAAGCAACGGAAAAGCTGTTTTATTGCTTATGGATTATCAGAACATTTCAAAGGGGACGCAGTCACATTGGATTAACCTATGGATTAACTACATCATCGTTTTTATTGTTTTAATGCCAATGAAGACCAGTTTAGACCAGACAAAGACGAAGGTAAGCCATGTTAGCGTTATGGGCTACCTAGCGCCACTTGTTCTGATGTACGTTTTTGTTGATAACGTCACGAGTTTGTATCTTTCAGTGTTGAGGTGGGCACAGTTAGATTCTGTGTCTCCTTGCGATCATAAACGATGTGTTGGATGTGCACCTAGGATAAGTATAAGGGTGTCCGTGGGGTCTTAAAAAGTATTAAAAGTCGATAAATCAATTTAGCGAAGATTAAGGCTATTAAAAAGTATTAAACCGCATTTTCCAAGGCAGTAAGAAGGTCCACAGCAACGACAACATGAAACAACCTTTAATTTACTGAAACAACATGTCGGGAAACCCCCTCAAGGTGGCCCCATGCATAGCGTGCCATAAAATGCTGCTTCTTATTTAAGTTTCGTTGCCTTGCTCCGCTCTGTGGGGGGGGGGTGGTATCTGCTGGTGGACTACCTGAGAGATATACAGCAGGAGAACACGCTGTCCACCGCAGAGAATAAACAGAAGGGCAACCATGACAACCATGCTCCGGGGTCTTCTTCGCTGCTTTTTGTGTATTTTGTGGCGGCTGCAGTGCCACTTACAGGCCTGGCATATGTACTACAGCGTTTCCAGCATTTCCAGCGGTCTAGTGTGAACGGACACGTTAATGAATCGAATGCGTGTGAACGGAAGACTTTTTTGCGTTTGCGTATGCGTTTTATCTATTCGTGAAATATTATATTTTATTATAATGTTATGTTCATTGTGAAGCACTTTGGCAAACCCTCTGTTTTTAAACTGTGCTATATAAATAAAGTGGATTAGATTGGATTACTGTATGCGTCCTCGTGGGTCTAAGCCAAACTATATCCGGTCACAGAGATCTGCTATTTTAAAGTAAGGTCAACACATATCGACCCTAAATATAGTCTATATTAAGAACGAGAAAAGTCTTAACATATATATCGTTTTTTGTAAACATATGACAAATATGTGAGGGTGATGACGTCAGAGCATCGTCCTATGTGCCGGGCTTAGCCCCGGACAGCCCCAGCCCAATTTAACCCCTGGGTATTTGTGAGGGAGCTCCTATATGGCATTACCCCGCTGAAGCTCACCAAAGTTTAATATATTTCATAGTTCAAAGTTTTGTTTATTGGTCAAATACTGGTTTCTAATGGTTTCTGAGGAGTTTTACTGGAATGAAAGAGCACAGAGTACAGAAGCAACAAAGCAGCATACTGCATTAAACCTGACCTTCACAGAGAGGTTGAAGTTCATGTGGATAGGAGGCTTCAGTAGTCTGTCTGCACTCTGTTTAGTTGTGCTATCTTACAATCAATATAGTAAATGTGAGGTAAAGTGTGTCGCCAATGTAACCAGTTAGAACTCGAAGTTGCGATGAGGTCTTAAAATGTATGGAAAGGGTCTTAAAAAAGGTCTTAAAAGGTATTAAATTTGACTTCAGGATTCCTGCATATACCCTGAAGTAATAAGGGAGCTAGGAGTGATTATCGGTGCAGTAATAGGTTAGCATTTTCGCTCGGGTCATTTAGATGCTTCTTATGAGACTTGTGTTTTGTTTTGGTAAAAATGGTTTGTATCGTCAGTTAGCTGAGATTATTCCCGTTAATCTGGTATAACACATTAATAGGTTCTTAAATATTAAGATCCCCTGAGACACAGTGTCGTGAAAGAAAAAACTAAAGTACCCGACGGCGGGGACCTTCGGGCTTAACAGGTTAAGGCTACTAACAACTTGTATTACATGGCTTAGTTGAATACTCGATTCTGATTGTAAATTCTTAACATGTGACACATTGTTAATACAGCAGTACAGACCACTGTCAAGGACTATAATGAAGGTTGCTAAGGAGGATCAAGAAAGAGAAAGGAAAAGAGGTTAAAAGACGGAGCGCTGGACGTCAGATAAATCACCAGAAGAAGGCAGAGAGGAAGTAAACAATATCAGGACACGGAATGGGCTCTGTATTTTGTTTAGTATATATGGCCATGTACAGGCCCGGTTCCAGAACAAAATGACTCGGGGTGCATCTGAGATTACAGGGGGCGCATTAGTAGTAGGTTTACATGAGCAATAGTGGCCGGCAACAGCAATGAAAAATAGCATTGATGGTCCCCAATGAACAGATTATGGCATTTGTTATGTTTTGAAACCAAGCAAGTGAGAACATTTCAAGTGTGTTAAAAGTGCAATTCTGACATATTTAATATAGTCCAAAGTGGACTATGGCAAAGAAAAGCACAAAAGCTTCAAAACTGTACTGATAAAACAAATGAGAAGATATTGTAAATCAAGGCAAATATTGTTTGAACCAGCTCATGGTTTGAAATGGCAAACATTGAAAAGCAAAAGTATTAAAACCATGTACTAAATCATCACTTTGGTCCCATCATATACTCTGGGAAGAGAATATTTACTGTGCTTGAAAACTGGTATCACATCATCATGTGAGGTTGACTTTGTGACCTGGGGAACATTTCAGCTGCAACATCGGCTCGTTGATAAGCTTGGGATATGAGATATTTTTGTAGCCATTCGTGGCGAAGGCATCTGTGCTATTGTATGCATTATGTTTGACCCAACATTTCTACAGGCATGATCCCTGTTGCTGAAACTGTAGCTTAAGGTTAAATATGGCACTATTTTCACATGAATATTCTTGCCATTGTCTATTTTTATACCACGAGCTGCAAAATGACCGCCTAACCCCACTGTACAGGCGGGTATTTGTTTAGATATACCTGGGCAGGCTCTGTTTTGCCATGGTATCCTGGCACCTGCGGGCCGCAGAGGGGCGGCGTATATTCGGGCGACGAAGACTGCTGCTCCGGGGGCGAGGGCGGCGAATCAGGCGGGAGTAAGCCAGTGTCCACAACGGAGGGTAACGTAATGTCCCCATCTGACCCGTTGCTACTGTCTGCAGTAGATGCAGTGTTGCTGGCGTTTAGTGATGGTTGCTTTAACCATTTTCGTATAAATGATTATCCACAGATGTGTGTCACTGCTGTGGAAGCACTTTGGAAATGATGCACGCGCAGCAGAGCAGGTCACGCGCTCCTGACACAATTTGTTGTTTGTATTTTTCGCTCCGTTCTCTTTTTTTAATAGAGGGCGCATAACATTCAACTGCCCCGAAGATTCCGACGCGAAGCCTGAAGGGTAAACACACCAGGTTTACTAATCTACCCGCACAATTTGTCTCTGGTGTCGGAATGTCTCGCTATGTTAGTACATTCTTAAAAAACAAAACAACATTTAATTTCGGGTTAAAATGTGTTGTAACTGCGTTACTGAGCATTGTAACGGGTAATATGTTACCCACATTTCATTTGTAATGCGTTACTTTTAGCTGTAACGAAGTAATGTAATATATTACTGTAACTCTGTTACTTTTGTAACGCGTTACACCCAACACTGGTCTTGAGGCATACGGTGTCTGATCAAATGTCTACAGCTGTGCTCTAAATGTGTCTGTGTCCTGCAGGTGGAAGTGGTTTGTGGAAATCACCTCCTCGATCACTCCCAGTCCCTCAAGGACATTCAGAGCTTAGTGGGTGAAGAGGCACTGCAGGTGAGCCCCACAAACACACACAAGAGACGTTTTTTAAGACGTTATGAAGAAGGCCAGGAATACCTTTAAGTGATTCTTTCTGTGGTTCCATTTTGTTACAGGACGGTTTGTTGGTGCTGCATTTTGGCCTGGTCCTGCCCTCCCAGCCATGAGCACGAGAGGTGGATGTAGTCCATGAACTCATCACTTGGATTTCCTTTATTCATGAACAGTCTGAAATGAAAAGATCTAAACATTTAAAACTGCAACGTTCAATTGTTTTAATAATATTATCACTGGGCATTCAGGACAGCCCTGGTTTCTGTTTGTTGCGCACAGACATTTGATTAACAGAAGTGCCATCATGCACTTCTGCCATCTTTATTTATCATCTCAAGGGCTGAGCGGAGTTTCATATTGATTCAACTACCAAAAGTTTTTGTGTGGAGCTTTATATACCGTTTATTTTATTTACAGCTTGCTTTGTGTTTGACATATTTAACTCAATGGCATTTGTATATTCTGCTGATGGGGTTTGTTCAAAAAGCCTTTCCTACTCAGTTTTGTCAGAATGAATTAATAAATAACTGCTCAACTGAGGTATGTTTCTCGATTCATCCATGTTTCCTGGTTTGAGCTTAATTTCCTCCTAAGGTGTAAATGCTTTTCTCCCACCAGTGTCTGTGGTTGTTTAATATCTTGCTACATTAAATGAATTCCCCATTTCAAAAGCCAACTATTTCTGATCTTCTTCTATCCTTTAGTAGAGGTGGATGGCGATCTGCTCTAAGTGCTGCAAGTCCTAGGAATTTGATACAAAAGTCATTCAACTTTAAAAGTATGCAATCATTAAAGTATAGCTGCAAATCATTTGACTTATAAATACATTGAGGAACGGTAAGATAATTGCCAACAATTTAGATAAATTATAAATAGTTAAATGTTTTCCATGCAGAAATGTCGGAACATGTTTTTCCTCTGAAATAATGAGGTTTTCTGCTTGATTGTCTTATATATCATATTCAAGTGAACCATAACTGACAAAACAAAACAATACAATAAATCCAGAAAAGATTGGCAGTTAAAAACCATTATGTAAATAATTTTTTTAATTAGTTTTAGCCCTGGTGTCGAAATCTACCTGGAGGTGGCTTTGAATGTATTCGGGATTATGCTGATTTGCACATGAAAACAAAGACTTTTATTCCCCACACGTATTCTGTGAAGACCCGCCCCTATACTTGATTGGTAGGTTTCAGCACGAGGAGTGAGATGGGGTGGGTCCTTATATATACAGTCTATGGGTGGGTCTTAAGGGAATACGCGAGAGAGAGAAGTCATAACAAGTGGTACAGGAAGACGTGTTTTTCGGATGGAAAATGAGCCAAACGTGAAAACGCAGCAGCATTTCAACAAGTCCTCCAACTAATACGACCAAATAGGTCGATTGTTTTCCGACCCAAATACGACCCATAGCCACGTTTTAAAGTGTAGCACCTCTAGTGGTCGTGTAAGAAACAACATGCTCCCGTCTATTCATTTCTATTAGCAACTCCTGGCGGATCGTAATCCCGTGAACTTTAACCTTGCGCATCAATAAAAGTGCGACGAGTGAAGAAGAAGAAGAAGAGCGGGAACCGGAAGTGGTAAAATGCTAACTCACTGGGTTTTTTTGGACTCGGCACTGCATCACTGACAACATCCATTTATTTCCTACAGACAAGCTAATAAAGGTGAGTAGTCGGATTAATTTTGTCGTCTAGTACAGTGACTAAGATTACTATGTTTACCTAGGAATAATGATAGCAAAGCTAAATTAGCCAAAAGTAGAATCAGCTAACGTTAATGTGAGCATGGAAGTTATGTGATCCATCGGTTCATGCGGTTTATCCAAATGTTATCACACGTCACATTCTTTATAACTATATTAAATACTATTTATGTATTAAGTGAAGAGTCATCAGGGGTATAATGCTGCCGGAACACCGCTCCGGCACCTAAAACGGGGATGGTTGTTAGCATCTGGTGCTAGCTAGCTATGATAACGGATAGGCTGAGAGGCTAATGTAGGTAATGTAATGTTTACACAGTTAACTTTAGTCTAAGTTATCTCAGTGGGTCTGAAACAGTTTGGTCACCATATATGGAAACACATATTTCCAAGGCACACTTTTATATTATTGTAATGTTCCTAGGGTTGCCAACTTCCAGAGATGGAAAAACGGAACACAGGCATGTGTCCCCCGCGCAAAGATTTTCAGGTTTCTGGCGGATTTAGTTTTTTTTTTTTGTTACTTTATTTCGGTTTTAGGGTTAGGGTTATGTTATTTAATTATTTTGGGGGAGCCAGCCCCCTAGGGTTCGAGGAGTCAAACCCCCCCAAAACCCTCAAAATGCATAGAAAACTATGCATACCTATAACACAATACAAACACAATGGTCTTACACCTGCATTAGGCTACTACATCACATTGTACATCAGCATGTTCAAATCGGATAGGTGGGCACTAGGGACATCTGGGCACCTCGATGTACAATTGGCTATTTTGTCCAAAATGTTAAAAAATAAATATTTGAAAAATGGTATTAAGTAATGCAAAGTATACATGATGTGAACATGCAAGGTACATCATTATTAGACTTAATGTTATCCTTCAACCAACCATTTTCCCAGCATTTTCCCATCAATCAGCTGACTGACTCTCACACAAGCAGAAGACCCGAGACAGATCTCCACTCACAGGCTTTACCCAACTGTGTTTTTCTTCCACGGTTTGTTGTAAGACAAAAGTATTTTCTTTTTAGAAGGGCCAGGGCCCAGAACCACTTCCTCTCTCTCTTCTCCTCTTTCATTATCACCTCCTCCACCGGCAGCGCTCATTTTCCCACACGACTGAACAGGCTGACATGCCACACAAACAACGATGCCGCGCCCGCGGCCCACCGGAGAAAATCTCACACACACACGTGCGAGCATTGTGCCTGCCCTGTCAACTGAGCGGTCCTAGCGCCCTTCGCATACAGCACACAAACACACAGGCACACAGCCAGACACACTGCATTGCGCGCAAACAGAAAATATTTTTTATTTTTCCCTTTACACGGGAATCCGGGACAAACAAAGTCCCGTACGGGACACGCCCCTTTTGGCTCAAATACGGGACGTCCCGGCTAATACGGGACGTCCCGGCTAATACGGGACGGTTGGCAACCCTAAATGTTCCACAATAGGAGTCGGAAACAGGTCTCAAGTTCTTAGGTTCAAAAGCTCCATTGGTAGCATACAAATACAGGTTCATAGGTCACAGGTTGTATGTCGCAGGTTCAACGTCACGCGGCACCCTAAAGAAAATCGAATGAATGTAAAACATCGATGAAATCATTACAATTCATGCTATTGGACATACAACAAATACATATATAATACTTTTTTTTTTTTAAAGAGTAAATAGTTACATATGCACAAAGATAAATAAAAAAAAGTATTATTCTTATCTTTTTTTAATTATTGAAATGTATACAGTTAAGTTTCATATGGGTGTTGACAGATGTATCCATAGATTTAGTTAATTTTGCCCTCAAAGTGCACAAGATTGATGCATTTAACTTCCCGGGGGCCTCCGGACCCCCCTAGAGGACGTGAGATCCACCCCCACTTAAAACATATTCACATGGATAGGATACTAAATAAATGTGCACACTTTTTATATAGTAACCTTTGTACCTCAGCAGGAGGGAGTTAGTTAAGTGATCAGTGAAGGAACTTTATAAACTATCAAGCAGCTGTGTCCAGCATTTACTGTAAGAATCCACATTTATTCAATAATGCAGACTTAATAAACGACCATTCTTTGTTGATTCTGGCTGGAGTGTTAATTGACAGTAGTTACATAAGCTTCAAAACGAGCCACAACTGCGCGTGCACGCATGCGGAACTTATAGAATTAGCAATACACCCCTGGTAATGATGATTTTAGTATTAGTTATGTGATGATGGAGCATCAACTTTTGGATCAACCAGATATTGACAGATTAGGGTTGTCGATAACAGTCACTTTAAACATGTGACTGACTCTGTATAACCATTTTTTTCCTTACTCTTGTGATTTTTGTTCATCCTATCTAAAAGATAAAAAAACACGAGTTCATTGTTTTAACAAGATTTTTCACGATATAATAAAATACATGAATCCTGTAAACATTTGTAGTATAGTATTCTTATTTGTTTTATTCCCTTATCTGTGTTTCTGTTACAGATGCCTACTCAAAAAGTGTGCCAGACTTGCAAACACAAAATAGGAGTAGCCAGCAGGAAATGCAGGCAATGTGGTGCCAACCAACCCTACAAGGAGAAACTATCCAAGCAAAAGGAAAAGGTTGCACAGGAGTGGAAGGCCACGCAACAAAAAAACCACAGTGTCAACAAAGTTTATGACTCAACAAATCTACTGGTACGTTTTTTTTTCTTGCAGATGTCAGTTGTCATAAAATAGTGTGTAAATAATCCCTGATCTTAATCTTTTTATACAAATTGTTATATTACTTAATTGATGTATACTTTCCAACAGTCGCCCTCATTTACTTTTTTTAAATAATCCAAATTTCTTAATTAAGTTTATGGGAAGAGTACAGACTAGTGCATGATTACTGCACTTCATGAGATGTGTTAAGCAAAATTGTTGTCACCGTTGTATTTAAATCTGTAAAGGCATAACACATTTTTTCAAACTGATGTTAGATAGTGTTTGTACTTGCAGGCGCCCAGTTTTAGTAAAACATTATTTCTTAAGCAGAAGTAACATAGTTCAGGCCAGTGGGGATTCCTAGAATCAGAGCTTCAACGTACATTTTTTCTAATTATATCTTACAAAATAAACTGCATTTTGGTGTTTTATATTTTATTTTGGACCTTCATGGTATGGCAAACACAGAATTATGTGACTATGGTTTCCAAAAGTAAAATAAATGAAATATCATACACATTTTGAATAAATGGTAAAACCAAGAATGTCACAGAATCAAATGTAAAGATCTAAATAATAAATTAAAAATAAATAAATATACAAAATGTTTGGGCTGAATATAGATATATTAACATTGGCTCAACTCTGCCAAAAACCAGCCAATATTAATATAGTGCTTGAAAGACAATCAAGTCCTGGAAAGAGTTTGTATTAATAAAGAGGCCCTTAAAAGCACTTTAATTTAGCTTACCAGAGTCTCTGACTTTGAGCCGTGTTCATCTGAAGTGCTTTAGTCATCAATATTTTGAGTTAATGCAGAACTTTGAACCTGAAATGACATAGGTTATAGCTTGCTGACATATTTCAAAGCTAAATGTAGCTTATTCAGATATCTGAATGTGAGAGTTAAATAGACCCATATAAAAATAACCATGCCCATGTAAACAAAACTCAAAAAGTGAACCGGAGCTTTTTTTCATGGTGTTTTTTGGCGCTCCCCTAAAATGGGTCTAAAATCACACCTGGTTAATGGTGGGGTGCCTTCCTCAATGTGCATACGTATCACATCAGTGCATTTTTCACTTATGCAAAAATAAATGGAGTTGTAAAAGCTTTAGGTGTGTGAAAATGTTTAGAGCTGTTATGTAAACAATATTTCTTGTTTTTTTTGTGTCCATTGTGTTCCAGCTCCACAAATGGAAACTTCTTGAGCGGCATCCCATCCTCCTTCTTGCCAAGAGAGGCACAAATGGTTTTGCGGCCGATTGCCTCTGTCCATGGCAAATTGAGACAGAAGATGGTAACAATGCACTTGTTACCATAAAGAGGATTTACGAAAGCCTTCTTAATGGTAAAGTATAAAAATCCACATGCTATATTTTAAGCCAAAAGTCATTCAGCAATTTATCGCTTAACATTTTTTGTAAATTAATTGCTCAGTTATTTTGTTTTAAAAAAACATGTGAATCACTCTTTACCAAGTAGTACAAATATGTCGTTATGTCTTGTTTTGTCAGTTAAAGGTCCCATGTCATGCTTTTCCGGTTATTACCCGTCCCCTTGTGTTATGTAGCTTTTTCTGCATGTAAACGGTCGGCAGAGTCAAAAACCCTCAAAGTACACCCTGTAGCGAGTAAAACTCTAACACAGAAAAGACCTGTCTATGCTGCCCCAGAACGCCTCGTTGGACATTTCTCTTTTTCCATTGTTTGCTTCCTGAGTATAGTGATATAGTGTTTAGGACAGAGAGTGAATACACAGAGATGCTGTATGAGAAACCAATGTGAGTTTGGAACATTGATCAATATAAATCTATTCTAGTAGACCTCAACAATGGAATTATGATCAGTAGAAATGGCCATGACATGGGACCTTTTTAAACTAGAAGGAAAATACAAAGAAATTGTTCACATGTGAGAATCTAATTATGACATGTTTTTACTGAAAGGATTACTCAAAACAATAAGCAATTATAGAAACAGCTGGTCAATCATTTTAAAGTTGACAATGAATCAACTAATAATCACCCTTACTTATATACTGATAACAATACTAATAATAACATTACGTTTTGTGGGACTATGTTCTTCGTAAAAGCTTAGCAGCACAACTATTGGTGGATTGCTGCACTGGTTTTCTCATCCTAACATTGAAGTCTTAAATGCTTGATTCATAAAAAACAATCAATATTTGTAGTTTAATTTTTAGCTGTAATTACTCAGATTATAAATGTATATGGATTATACTTGGTCATTTATTCACCATGCCTCTACTTTTTTTTCTTCTCAAAAGTGACTTTGGCAGTTGAACCTGAGGGTCCTTCAACCACACAGGCAGAAATGGCCACAGACCCAGGATCAGATTCCTTGTCTGTACCTCTCTCCTCCAGCCTGACTCCTCCTCTCTCCTCCTCTCCTGACTCCTCCTCTCTCCTCCGGCCTGACTCCTCCTCTCTCCTCCGGCCTGACTCCTCCTCTCTCCTCCGGCCTGACTCCTCCTCTCTCCTCCGGCCTGACTCCTCCTCTCTCCTCCGGCCTGACTCCTCCTCTCCTGACTCCTCCTCTCTCCTCCGGCCTGACTCCTCCTCTCCTGACTCCTCCTCTCTCCTCCGGCCTGACTCCTCCTGTGTCCTCAGTGTCTTCCTCACAGAAAAGAAGACCAACGAGGAATAAAGTGGCAATTAATGGTATGTGCGGGTTAATTAGTAATTATCTTATTTACATAGACTGAAACTGTGTTTGATTTTGCACATTGAATTAGTTAAAGAGAGAGAAAACAATCATCAGTACAATTAGAATACGCCACCTTTTGTTTTGTTTAAGACTTTGCAGTATCAAAAGTCTCAGTGCCATTTTGAACAGTTTAATTGAGCACAATGTGATGTTAGGCAATGTTTAGGAGGTTATTGCTGAACTTCAACTTATTACCATCTTTTAATTCCTTGCAGAATGTCCCATTCATCAAGGGTCAGCCACTTTCCCCTACAAAAAACTATTGAGGGAAAGAATCAGGGAGGTTTGTTTAGAAAATATTTTAAAATAAGAAATAAACTGACAATAATGCTTCCGTGGAACCAAGTCTTATCTTATCTTATTGGATTTTCGTATACTTTGTTTAAAAGGAGTGTTTCAGTCTTAAGCATGACTGCTAATCTAAATATTGAAATTACAGTAACAATAATTTATTATTAATTTAAGGTTGAGGTACTTGTGTAATGCTTCATGTCGCATTAATGCATCATGTCCAGCCATTTATTTGTATATTACATTTTTTCTTGTAATCATTTGTAGGTGAATTCCTATTCTTGGCAGTGAAAATATATTTTTAAATAATAATAGTATTCCAAAATATTAAACTGATGGGGAAAATGCTATTGACTATGTTACAGTCCTTCATATGTTTGAGTTAAACGTACCTACTATTATTTCAAATTATCATTTGATTTCTCTGGACTTTTCGTATTTACATGTATGACATTTGAAAAAAAATAAGTTTACCTAAAATCTGTCTTTCTTTACTCAGGGCCATGCCGAGGTGTTGGTGCAGTGGCAGTCTTGCTCTGGATGGTATGTATCTAATCTGAAGTTTCCTTCAGTGTAGCTGATGGGGCTGGCAGAACAGGGGCCAGAAAGTAGTCTTACCAACCAACCTCATCAACCCTGAGATCACTAACTTAAACATTTTGGGTTCCTCAGCAGTAAATTCAATTTAGTTGATCACATGGGGGTGGGGAGCCATGTCATCAATGGCTCTATCAGACAGCGATTGTGCCATAAAGTAAGACATCCAAGTTCTCTGCCCTTCGTCATTCAGACATCGCAGGTCTCCCTTGAAAAAGAGATCTATGATCTCAATGGGACCAATCTGGTTAAATAAAGGTTTGAAATGAAATGAAAATTGCGCCCTAGAAATGCTGTCTGGTTGTAACACATAAGCAGGGAAGTAGCTTACATTGGAATAGAAATTAAAATACAATATACAACTGAGTTGATCCTTGATCAATATCACTAAAGGTTAAATGATTGATATGTGATGCTGGATGGTATTTTATCTCTTTTGTAATTACTTACTTGTTACATTTGTTCTTAACAATTATACTATTAGTATAGTTAGTAAGTAGTATTATTTCTGTATGCTGTCTTGGAGGCAGTTGTTTACTTGAGTAAAAGTAGAAGTACTCAGATCTTGTACTTGAGTAAAAGTAGAAGTACTCAGATCTTGTACTTGAGTAAAAGCAGAAGTACTCAGGTCTTGTACTTGAGTGAAAGTAGAAGTACTCAGATCTTGTACTTGAGTAAAAGTAGAAGTACTCAGATCTTGTACTTGAGTAAAAGTAGAAGTACTCAGATCTTGTTCTTGAGTAAAAGTAGAAGTACTCAGATCTTGTACTTGAGTAAAAGTAGAAGTACTCAGATCTTGTTCTTGAGTAAAAGTAAAAGTACTCAGGTATTGTACTTCTACTTAAAAGTAGAAGTACTGTAGTGGAAATTTTATTATATCCTGATATGTTTTAACCAAATGCTTCTCATTTGGTTAGATGTGCTGTTTTCCTCTATCTATCCTACTTCAAGGCCACAGAGCTGTTTTGGCTACTGGGTTGAGACTCACACAAAGTCACACGAGAACTTCTACAGCTCAAGGCCAGGTGTCTAATAAGAATGTGACCGTGTGAAGACAGATTTCTTACCTTCCCACCCTTTCCTCAATATAAGCTTGAAAACTATATTGAACTGCGCACACTCGCGCAGACTTATTTTATACTCTGTGAGACCTGTGTCTATATATATATATATTAGGGCCGGGACTCGATTAAAAAAATTAATCTAATTAATTAGAGGCTTTGTAATTAATTAATCGAAATTAATCGCATTTTTAATCGCATATAAATATTTGACCTGAGAACAGTGAGAAGCAATTTTTTTCACATGGATTTTAGTATACCATTAGGCGCATTCACACCGCAGTACTTTTCCCACAAAGGTTCATGAGAACTTAGTTCATGAGAACAAATGAAGCCGCTGACGTCACTTCTTCTTCTTCTGCTTTGGGTTTACTGGCAGGCCGCAAACCACTTCACGGCGTATACTGCCGCCCAAAGTCCCCGGCCGGAAGTCCCCGGAGTTGGGGACTGGCTTCAGTAGAAGCTGCTGGGAGTCCCAGCAGCTTCTACTGAAGCCTTCCGAGTAAATCGCCAGAACGCCGACACCTCCTCATCTCCACCGCTCCCATGTTTTATTTTGTGTTGCCATAAGTTAGTCTCTCTGCGTTTCTGCGCTGGGCTAATGCTAATGCTAATAATGCTAATGCGAGGATAATAAAATGGCGGCTTCACCAAACTTTTTGGGAGTTTTTACGGGGCGTGGTTTGCAATCCGCCCAGCCAATCAGAAATATAGCTCTTTTCTCACAAGAGAGCCGTACGAAAGTCCCTGCTCTCTAGCAGCTCTCTGCTCTCTAGCAGGGACTTTCGTGGGGGTAAAAAGGTTCTCATGAACTAATTTTAGTACCGGCTCTTTTTGGTGTGAACCATAGACTGTATGGTGTGAACGCGATAAAAGAGGCTAACGTCCACGCTAGCTTCCACGCTAGCTGCTATATGTTTTGCATTGAGGTGATACTTGAGGCTTGATGTGCTGCGGTGATATGCGAATTCCTTTTTGCATAATTTGCACACAACCGTGCTCTTATCGACGCTTCCATCCGTCCGTTTTTTAAAATAACATTTCCCACTGTTGTTCACTGTGGTTTGTTGTTGTCTGAAGTCATGAACGTTAGTTGGTGCTCTAGTATAATCGGTACGCCTGAAACTCATCCAGTGAGAAACGTTCCGCGGTGCAAAAATAAGTGCGATTAAAATGCGTTAATTTTTTTAACGCGTTAATTTTTGTGTAATTAATTAATCTTAATTAACGCGTTAAAGTCCCGGCCCTAATATATATGTATTTTATTGTATCTGCTGTTTGTTTGAGTCATCGAATAAACATCACCAGAAAGACAACTGTCTGATTCACCATTTATTTGATTTGATCCCTTTGACTTGTACTCTACAGTATTGGGGTTTTTAGATTTCCATAACAATTGGCGCTGCGAGCAGGGTCTCTGCAAGTTCGATTGGGAACACCTCCGGACGCTGGTGGTGGGCGCTCCAGGATCCGCGGATCTTCCTCTACCCCGACAGAAACCGTATGGGACGAGAGGACCAGCGCCGGGGGTGGAACCGATTGACTTCACGAGATCCAACGAACTCAAAGGCTTTCCAATACTGGGTGAGATGTACAGTGTCTAAATTATTTAAAGTTAAACGTAATTAAAACTCCATGACATTTATGAAAGGGGCTGCTCGAAGATAGGGTTTATCCCGTCGTAGATCGTGGGTTTACGATTAGTTTTTGCGTGATTTGTACTGAGAAACAAATATCACATAGGGTTTATCCCGTCGTAGATCGTGGGTTTACGATTAGTTTTTGCATGATTTGTACTGAGAAACAAATATCACATAGGGTTTATCCCGTCGTAGATCGTGGGGTTACGATTAGTTTTTGCGTGATTTGTACTGAGAAACAAATATCACATAGGGTTTATCCCGTCGTAGATCGTGGGGTTACGATTAGTTTTTGCATGATTTGTACTGAGAAACAAATGAGGTGATTTTGTCATGGGAGCAAGGCAAAGTAGGGGGCTTGTACACCCTCCTGAGGGCCCGATTGTAGACGTCATGAGAGTAAAATATGGTGAAAACAGTCTGTCTAAAGAATAAATATATGGACGGAAATGTTTGGATTTCCAAAGGGAGGTTTTTGAGTAAATTAAAAATCAAGAAACTAAAGAATACATTTATTCTTCAAGAAGAAGTAGAAATACAAATAAAGTTAAAGTAAAAGACTTATATAGAAAACTGGACACTCACAGAAAGTGTTTATAATAAATACTGGGAGGATTAAGCAGAATGCCGTGAAAGAAGGCAATTGGCCTTGGGCGTTAAAGAAAATATTAAGGTTGGAATGAATGTGAAGAAAAGAAGGAAAATAAATTATTTCCAAAACCATGTAAACCCCAGACATCTCTGTGTCTTTCCATTGCAGGCGTGGGGGATCCTCTCCTCGACTGTGGATTTCCTTTCCCACCTTCCCTCGCTGTTCACCTGCCTGCTGAGGAGGCGGCTGGACCAGAGGCCGCAATAACTACAAAGTTCCCCGCCAAAGTCGACATGTCAAGAATTTGGGCATGCAGGCAGAACCGGGAGGAAACAGTAAATGACTATTACCACCGCTTAGAAAAAGTGTTCATTGAGAACAGCGGCATTATCAAACAAGAGGCCGGTGTGGGAGTTTGGGAAACACACCTCTCAAACGCTTTCCTCACAGGCCTATCCCCGGCTATTTCTTCATCAGTGCGAAACTCCTGCATTGGCGTAATGGACGGTGCCCGGCTGGAAGAAATTCGCCGACATGCCGTGCAGGCTGAGAAACGCCTCTCAGAAGAAAAAGCCAGTGAGGAAAAGAGACGCCACGCTCACAAAGAAAAGGGCCAGCTGACCATGGTCCAGGTTGTTACAACCACCTGGGCTCAAGGTCAAGGCCAGGGCAGAGGGAACCGAAGAGGAGGAAGAGACCGCAATAGAGACCGCAATAGCAGATGTTTTAACTGCGGAGAGATGGGTCATCGGTTCGCTGAATGCCCACACGAGAAGCAGAAAAAGAACTTTCGATCGGATAAATCGGACTGTAACAAAGACAGTACTTCAAACTGACAGTAGTCGAAGGAGGGAGTGGGGAAAGGAAGGAATTCGGTCGGGAGAGAGAGAACCACTGCCAGCATCATCGAACCAGGGAAGTGAATACACACACACACATCATGCTTTTGAAAATTGGAAAATGTAGAAGACATGCCTGTGGTTAAAGAGGGTACATATTTGAAATATGACAGTGAAACAGCATTTCAGAAATGTCCCACACTGACTTTGGCTGTCATGGGTGTTGATGTTCCATTTTTTTTGGTTGATTCTGGGACTACACATTCTATAGTAAAAAGGGCAGATTTGCCTGATTGCAAATGTAATGGTAGATTATGCACTCAATAGGAGCGGCTGGGGTGACTGTAAAGGAGAAGTTTTTGTATCACTTCAGAGTGGAGATAACGGTGATGATAGTCAATCCATTTCCCACATCAGTCAAAAACAGTTTATTTTATCCTTCGTCTGCCTAATACATTTACTGGGCAGAGATCTGATTCTCCGGTTCGGCTTAGACCTAATTTTTCAACAAATGAGGGTTTTAAAGTCCGGCAGCCATCTCCTACGATGGTTCAAAAACTGGCATTTGATGATAAAGAACTGTGTGAATGTGTATTAAATGGCTGCTGACATATCCTGATTCTCAGGCGTTGTTGCGTTTGACTGATCAACGTGTTTTTCCACCTGCTGTGTTCATGGAGGCTTCTCATTTGCATTATACGTGCTAACGTTGTTAATGTTGTTAATCCGTGTAAATGCTATGATGAGTTTTTCTGTTAGAATGTGTGAATGAGGAGCTCATGCTTAAAACTAAGCTTGAAGTTTGCTGCGAAGCTGGTTCCTGTTGCACACCCACACAACACAAACTGTGTCAAATCCCAGGGGCGGTCCACACATTTCACTAGTCAGGGGCCCCACTGATAGATAGAGGGATTTGGATCCAATCGTTAAAGATTTGGAGTCAGTCACTGATTGGACACCTACACACACAGAATATGTTATGTACTATATGTCAGGTGACATGTATAAGATGAAAATGTGCACAAACGTAGCCGTTCTGCGCACATTGCTGTTGGTTGAGGATGATGAGGTAATTCTCATATCTCTGAGCTTTCCTGCGCTTTCAGATGGGCCATACTCACTCTGGGCAGCTCACAGATCTGACGTAGGGTTAATGTCCATGTTGATGGACTCAGTGTTTACCTCTCTGCTTAAACAAGGGGTCATTATTCCGTGTAACGATTCCGGTACGCACTCCAGTGTTTCCTGTCAAAAAGATCAGAGACAAAACCTCCTGACGAGTGGAGATTTGTCCAGGATTTACAGCTGTAAATGCTATGCAGCTATGCCCGCTCGTCCCAAGTCGCTTATCTGATTACTCCAAAAGTTCCAGCCTCTGCAGCATATTTTTTTTTACTGTCATAAGATCTCTCAAATGCATTTTTCAGTGTTCCTGTACACAAAGACAGTCAATTTTGTTCACATTTGAATATAAGGGTAAACCTTACAGATTCACACGTTTGTGTCAAGGCTACTGTGTACAACCAGGCATTGTGTACAAGACAAGACAAGCTGTACACACACACACACACACACACACACACACACACACACCACACACACACACACACACACACACACACACACACACACATACACACATACACACATACACACACACATACACACACACACACTTTGGATGGGTATTTGCCTTATCCACATTGTAAATTGTTGCCTTCTTTAGAGTTATTAGTAATTCAAGATTAATTATTGAATTAACTGTGGTACATAAGATAAAATAACTAAAACTTTGACTTGATGATTTTGTTCACAACATTAGACCTTGTCCTCTAATCTCTACTAGAATAAGATACGTGTGCATGTTTGGGTGTTTTATCACTCCCGTCATGTATAATATTGTTGTCCTTTTCATTACAGAGCTGGGAAAATTGTGTATTGCTTAGATTCTGATCCGTGCGAGTCCAATTTTGACTGACTTTAGTTCTAATGTTAATGTTAATTTGATTCCAACCCATAAGTAATTATTTAAATTATCTCAAAATTTCACATGATGATGGATTAGTGTTCCACATTTTTCCCACTAATTTGTTTTATGGTTAGGCCAAAGGGCAAGAGAGACATTGACACCCTTTTGTTGGTACGTGGTTCCATTTTGTCTATGGCCTTGGACCAACCTGATCTCACCAGAATGCGTGACTCCACCACGACTCCTTAACACCGCATTGCGTGGTGGAGTCACGCATTCTGCTCCATTTACGTGTCTGCACCACGCAAAAAAACCCAATGTAAAGTGAATGAGGCTCCTTTGTCGTGGTGCACACACGCATTTCTACAACGTCCCGCAGTGAGCTTTTATTCTATAAAACATTTTTAAATCTACTTTATAGCTTGTAGTAACTCACGGGAGTCTTTTTTTATTTTATTTGTATTCATAATAATTTTTATTTTTCGTCAGAATGTAAAAATTACATTAGTTACGAATTTTTGTTCTCAAAAAACAGTGCATTGTGTGTAATACAACTGTGATTTTTATTAAATTAGTTAGTTTTTAAGGAAGGCCAGAGCTTCAGCTGTGTCAAATAGATTGTTCCCTTTAGTTAACGTTATTTAAAAGATAATGATCATGTCCCCTTTATTGTATTACGAGCGTCCATTCCCATTGGATAACGGATAATTTTACACCCGGAAGTAAGTATTCTCCTTACTGTCGATTGATTTTACAGTGATATCTGAACTACTCATCAACTCAAAACACCAGATTATCCTTGTTAATTACACAACATTGATTGGTTTAAATTGTGTACAATGCTTTTGTATTTTTGCCCTTCGATTAGGAGAAACGAATATTTTTTCGGAGTTTTTGGATGGCACTACACTACCCAGAATCCTCAGCTATCGTTTGGGACTACACCAGGGGCGGACTGGGACTACAATTCAGCCCTGGAAACTGACCCAGTCCGGCCACATGAAATGTCAAATGTTAGAAATCCGCTGTTTATTATTTAAAGTTTTACGTCCGATTCGCTCCTTTGTTCCTCTCTGTACACAGCTCCAGTTTGGGCATTGGCCTGTCATCAGATTTCATTTTTAGTTGCTGCTGTAGCGGAAGTTTAGTACAATTATTTTTGATGAAATACTCAAAATCTCCACCCTCCACAATTGCACTTGCTTCAGTTGCTTGCTACTTTTTAAGGGCGGTGATACAGTACGAACTGAAGTTGATGCGATTTGATTGGATTGTGAGGCATGACGTGAGCCTCATCTGATTGGTCAATCCCTCAATTTTTTTCACCAAGGGAAGCCCATTTCGGCTGGCCTCCTCTGGCAACAGAGAGTGCAATATACTGTTTCACCATAACATCTAGAGGGGCGCTGTTTCACTCTTTGTAAAATACTCAATGAGAATGGGGGAGAGACGGGCCGGCAGAATAATTACCGAAACTAAACTAAGTGTTTTTATTTATTTATTAATATTATAACTACAATCCAAAAAACAGGGGAAGCCTGGCTTCCCTTGGCCTCCAGGAGAAAACGCCACTGAGTTCAGGGGATAATTCTCACCCACCTCTTGCTCTTGCCCTGCACGTGTGCCAGTTGAGCTGGTTCTTCCACCAGCTCAACTCTGTCCCTCATCATGAACGCAGGAGGCTGGCTGTATATCTGAACTCGCACCCTCATCATTCTCTTCATCATCTTGCATTTGTTCTAAGCTGCTGCTGATAGTGCTTGTAGCTGCCAAAAAGGTCTGTCAATTTGCGACATTTATATGCTTCACCTGCGAGTGACTTCACCTTTTTTTCTCTTGCCTTCTCGGCCCACCTTTTTCTTTTCGTTTTCTTTGATTTGTATCCATGTTTTTTCATTCTCCCTGTCTGCCGCGGCGTCTAATCCCTTCTCTTCGGCCCATTCCCAAACCGCCCCCTACACCCTACCCCTACACCCTACCCCTCCGTTTGCGCGTTCACGCGGAGGGTCCGCCATATTGAGGGCTGTTCCAAAGCAACGAGTGTGGAGGGGGAGTGGGCTATCAAGCCCTCAAACAGCGAGTCTGCAGTGGTGCTGACTTGAGACCGGTCTCTACCTGACCGGAGTCACGCTGTGTGTGTCCGTCAGGAAACACGCTGTTTACAAGTAGTTCCAGCAAACATCCACTGATAAACTGCGATGTTAACAACCTCATGATAACCTCATATGTTTTTAACTTAGGATCATACCTGTGTTTAGTCTAGAAAAAGGTAAATGTGTGCATTTTATTATAAAGTTGTGTATATTTACAGACCGTTGCAAAAACTAAGAAGCTTATAAACATCAGGTTTAAAACTAAAAGAGCTTTGAAACACAATGAAAGATGTTTGGAGTTTTATTTGAGTTATTCATTTAAACTTTTTGTCAAAGAGATGCTGATTTGAAACCGTTGTTACATACAGTTACGGCATTTCCTGTTTCTGCCGGAGAGAGGGGAGGCCGTCCCAAAGCTTGCTGCTGTATTTACTCCCTCCGTATGACAGGAGGGAGCCTCGTTGAGCTGCGAGTGTGGCTACAGACGGAGTTCACTCCATCACGGAGGGGTAGTGTCGAGGGAGTGGTTTGGGATTGGGCCTTATGGCGCGTTTCCACTGCAGGCCTCGCTCGGTTTGGTTAGGCCTTATTAGGCCCGGCTCACTTTAATGCTGCATTTCCATTACAGTTTAGGAACTGGGGTAGTTACTATAGTAACGCAGTGTAGGCGGAGCCGTGACGTCATCTTCAATGAGAGCCCCAGAAAAACAACACAGCTGTTAGCTCTTAGCACTCGGAGCTCACAGCTCTTCATATCTGTTCAGAAACTTGATAAAAGTTAAACAAGTACAAACCACAGACTGCCTGTGTCATGGCGAATACAGTCGCTGGTTTATTTATGTCTGTATAGGCCGTTGTTGTGAGTGTGGACGGTCGGAGCATATTAATTTATATTCATATTAATTAACGTTAGCTTAGCCAAGCTACATTTAGAAAACACGCATTTTAAAAGGGTTTTTTGCCTGCCGTCTGTCTGCAGACTTGTCAAAGCAGTAATTCATGGTTTTTACTAACCGGTATCAGTATGTTGTTACTTCGGCATCATTTTGAAACGTGTATTACAATTAATTCACGGTCAAATATGTTCATCTTGTTGTAGTTGTAGCCCCCTTGCCAGCGATTCTCTCTCTAGCTTAGCATACTCAGCCCGACTCAGCCTGGTTGTTCCTGGCCCTAGAATCACGATTTAGTCGGGCCAGAAAAAAGGTGAAAAAGTAGCCCCGGGCCAAAACTAGGCCAAGTGGAAACGCAACCAAAAACGGGCCCCGCACGGCTCGGCACGCTTAAAGCGAGCTACCCGCTGCAGTGGAAACGCGCCATTAGTGTGGCCGGTCTTTTTTCTTCTTCGTGTGTTATTATTTGACAGATAAGAACCACACAACTGCATTAGCGGCCGCTGTCGCCCTCTGTCGGCCGTCAGCGCAACTTAATAGATGACGTTAAACAATTTTTCTTTAAAGGGCCGGCCGGCCGTCAACGGCTCTTCACGACCGGCCGTTCTGTGGTTCTCCAGATTCTACAGATGGCCAGTCCGCCCCTGGACTACACCATGTGCTTAGCTTGACAAACCCCGTGATCAGTCCTCAAGCTCTGTTATTGGTTGACCTCCAACTGCATTCCATATGAAAAAACACGTTTCGTAAAAGATAAAATCATACTTTATTCAGCAGTGCTTGCTTTACTCTTTGAAAGTCATCACATGAATGCATTGTAATAAATGGTTTGGCTGCATTAAATATTACACATCTATCGTAGTTCCTTATTTATCTACAGAGATCGGGCATCAGAATAGACCGGAAACTATTCTTTTACCGTTCTGTTTTAATTTCACAATAAAGTTAGTAGTAATAATCTGTTTTGATATTATTGTTTTTTATTAACTACTAGACCGCTGGGTCGGACTGTTAAGACCATATTTTCTGTGTTGCTGTGGGGTTTTTTCATCGCTTTTGTGTTACAAATATAAAAACAATAACAAAATATATCCGTCGTAAATTAAACCAGAAACAGCAGTATATTTTATTTTGTTAACACTGTAAACTTGACAGCTTTTTAACCCAAACCACCTACTGGTTAAAGCACGTTATTACACGTTTGGAGTAATTGCAATGCAGGTAGATTATGTTGCTTTTTAATGACTGTTTAAAATGCCTTTTTCTTAATGTCTTTCATTTTTGTAAAGCACTTTTGAATGTGTTATATTTGATGAAAACATTTAAATATTAAGAGTATACAAAATAGTGGGAAAGTAGAAGGTCAATGATATAAATAGAAAATAGAAAATATCAAGAAGATACTGTAAGTGATATCTACAATAAAACAGTTTAGTGCCTGATAGGAGGATGTGCAAAACAGACAAACTAATAAGGCTTTATTTAAACATTAAAGAATACTTTAGGCTAAGGTCTTCTTTTAAATAAGAAAAAAGCTTTGGGGGTATCTATCTACAGATACATAT